ATCTTAAAAAAAAATTATTCGCCGAAATTTTAAAAATTCTTTCTAGGCGATAAAAAATTAAAAAATAAAACTTATTTTCCGGAAAAGTTTAGCTCTATTTTGTAAATTGTTAATAAAAAACAATTGAATATATATGAGCAGCAAATGAAATAATCCTGTTTAATTGATATAATTTATATTTAAGTAAATAATTGGCCCTGCCTTAAGCCATTTTTTTTATTGTTTTAACCCCGTCTCGAATTTTACAAATTATACCATATTACCGACCCCTCTGTGTCGAGATCTGGGCCAGGAGTTCTGATATCTACAGTTTGAATAAATTATAATTATGCATTTTTATTTCAATAATTATTCAAAAAATAAGTAATGTTGGAATATGGATTTTAGAATTCTTGATAAATAATTTTAAAAATGAAAGAGAGTTTTTTCTTGTTCCAAAATATAAATCATGAGGATAAATTTTTAGCTAATCTTGGACAACTTTCATTGAGAAATTATATCTAAAAAGTTTCGTTAATTTAGGGTGATTTATAGCAGGGACCTGGAGAAGTACCATTTTTTATTTTAATTATTTTAAAAACAAAATTTGGCCTGTTTAGGAATAATTATGATAATATATTTTGAGTTTCCCGTTGTTATTTTTTAAAAAAATACGCTGAACAATTAGTATTAGTAAAGTTAAAATTAAGAAAATGTTTCTGTCTTTATTAGTTTCTATTAGTGCGTTGCTTTAACTAGTAGATTAACTAGTTTAAAAAAAACTATTAACAACAAAGCCAGCCTTACGCCAATTTTTTTAGGATATTAGATTAAGTCGTTTTTTAGAAAATTTAAAATGCTAATATTTGACAAAAAATAACTTAAGACTTTTATTTTTTATTTATTTTAAAATGGGCTAGACGTCTTCCCATTATGTTGATCTATAGCCGGACGCTCCCCCTTTTTTTAAATTTATTTTGTAATTATAAATTATAAATAAAAACACAAAACATACTTTGAGATCTATAAAATTATTAAAGTAATAAATATAATCAATGTAATTAATCTATCATTTTTTTCTTGTATAACATCTAACATTAAACGCCAATTTTCGAGATTCAAAAGGATGTAGCCTATTAATATTTTTTCGGTATATGTGGGCCCATATTATGAGGTCTCTTTAAAGCATGTTGAACTGGAAGAATATTCCACTTTTTCCTAGAGAATTCAGAAATTAAACTTCATTCCAATTTTTCTTCTCATGGCATAATTTTATCATTATCATATATTGTCTTGATTAAATACGTAATTTACAAAAGTATCGTATGTTTATATTGTTAGTAGCATTTATAAATGAGATTTGTTTGATAATACAGAAATAATTTGTGTTATAGTTTATGATTTTGTAGAAATTTTTAAAAAGATGAGTGTCCGACTACATTTTTTAATCTTAATTTTCTAAAAACAGACTATAAGATTTAAAATATTTTGAGAATATTAAGACACAATAAAATAGGAGATTTCATTAAAAAAAAGAATGACGCCTTCCATAGTAAAGATTTCAAAACGCAACGTTTTTATCCACCCGGTAAATAATCAATAATGCATTCCTGCTATTATATTCCCGATCATACATTTGTGCTAATGCATTCGAGGCAATACATTGACGATATAACATTCGCGATATTTCATTCGCTGTAATGTATTTGCTATAATACATTCGTGATAACACTTTTGTGGTATTACATTCGCACTAATGTATTCGCTATAAAATTTTCACTGTATTATAATCGCTATAATGCGGGGTTCAAAATGACAAGAATCATTCACAAATTTTTGGGGCAGAATGCAGTTATCTGTTCGTATATAGACTAACACATGTCTAAACGCTTCTGAGTATTAAAATGATAGTGAATAGAATCCATACCCGCTTCAAAAGAATTTTTTTATTTTAAATTTTTACCTTATTAGAGTTTAATAGGTTTTAAAAGAAACTAAAAGAAACTATTTAAATTAATTCTTTTTTTAAATCAAATTTATTATTATCATATTATATCTAAAAACATAGTATATATATATATAAAAAGTTAATTGAACATAATAAATAATCAACGTTAATATATTAAAAATAAACAATATTCAAATAAAACTAAAATTTATAATATAAGATTAACTATTCAAATTTAAGATTAATTCTTTAAATTTATATATTATCAATCAACATTCCCCCTCTTCTACAAAGAACGAAGCTTCTTCTCAGCAGTCATCGAGAGCTTGTTGTCCTAGAAGTTTTTCCTGTTTCGATTGTACTCGGTTTCATCTTGGTTAGCGCATAAGTCTCAAATGTTCTCGTAGGCTTGATTCTATCACGTAGGTTTGATAAAATCGTTTATTAGAGTTGCGTGAGTTTGTACGTTTTTTGTAGGCTTGATATCCTTATCGTATGTTGTTCACATTTCTCAAAATTGTTATTATCATTAATCCAGTTGAATATTGGAATTTGGAATAAATCGGAATATGTAATTTGGAATAGTTGATCAAATCAAATATGTGAATAATATGCACGAATAAAATTTTGAATTTCGGAACAATAAAATATGTAATAAGGAATGATAATTTAAGGAACAAGGAATAAAATCCAAAATAAGGAATGATAATTTAAGGAATAAGGAATAAAATAAGGAATGATAAATCATAATGATTATTATATTATTTTTTATTAATCATAGCGTTTTATACTTTTAGCGTTTTATGATTTTATATTTTTAGCGTTTTATATTTTTTGCGTTTTACATTTTTTGCGTTTTACATTTTTTAGCGTTTCAATATTTAATTAGTAGCGTTTTAATATTTAATTTATTTTTATTTATTTTCAATCTCCGAGGTTAAAATATGCAAATATAATGCACATTTCCCTCTCTTAAAAAAAATTTAAATTTCACACAATATTTTTCTAAAATAATGATGTTTAATTTTTACATAACCTTTTGTCTTCAAAAGCTTTATTTCAAAAACATTTTTATCATATTAAGTATTACTTATAAGGGTTATTTAAATCAATCCCTTTTAATTCATATGTTTTAATTACACTTTAATATATTTAAAATTAAAGTTTTATCTTCTTGTTTAGGATTTATAATGGTTTATATTTAATTATATCTAAGAATTCATTTTTAGGATTAGTTGTTAATTTACAACAATTGGTCATCATTCAAGAAATCAAAAAATAATATTTCACTAAGAATTTAAGTAAATAATTTTTTAAAGGCTTTTTGTGCGTTCAAATATATCCATTATGATTTTACATTTTAGTGATTTTAAAAATTTATAACATGCCTTTATCCTGGCATAAAATTTTAATTTTTAATAACTTTTCTTCTTACGTGGATTAGAATAATAAGTAATCATCATTGGTCTCACAAAATAGAATTCATAACCTATCGTTCAACTTCCATATCAGTTCTTCCTAGGTTGTCACATTAGGTTAGGTGCTGGTTATCATATTCCAGTCCAACATCCAGAGCCGGGACACCATGAAGAAAGAAGCTTTTTGCATGAAAGAACGTGCTAAGGTTTGATTCTTGGTCATCTTCATAGATTAAGCAATCAACACAATAGGTAGTCAATAGGTAATCATATAAATAGAGTCCTCTCAATGGATTAAACAATCGTCACAATAGGTAGTCATATAAATAGAGTCATCTCAATGGATTAAACAATCGTCACAATAGGTAGTCATATAAATAGAGTCATCTCAATGGATAAAGCAATCGTCACAATAGGTAGTCATATAAATATAGTCATCTCAATGGATAAAGCAATCGTCACAATAGGTAGTCAAATCAATAAATAAGGTAGTCACCAATTTCAAATTTAATTTAATTTATACTTTTTTATTTTAATTTTAGGCAAATTTTCTATATTTTATTCTTTTTTTTTTTACAAAAACTTAACAGGGCGCCATAAAAGAAACAAGAAGTTAACAAGATGTTAACAAGTTATATTTATTCTAAATAAAATTTTTTTTTTTTTTACCTTTTATAATTTTGTAAATTTGGATAAAATTTTGACTATCGAAAAGAAAAGTCAAAAAAATTTTATATGTCCTTTTATCATCTCCAATATCTAACGACGAATTTGCTTTTTATTTTTACAAAAGAAATCAAGGTAAGGATATTTTTAAATTTTATTTTTTTAAACTTTTATTATTTAACTTTATTTTATTTTTTAAAAAAGAAAGAAAAACGAAAAACGTACCACCGTAACCGGGGCACCATAAAAGAAACTAAAAGAAACTATTTAAATTAATTCTTTTTTTAAATCAAATTTATTATTATCATATTATATCTAAAAACATAGTATATATATATATATAAAGTTAATTGAACATATTAAATAATCAACGTTAATATATTAAAAATAAACAATATTCAAATAAAACTAAAATTTATAATATAAGATTAACTATTCAAATTTAAGATTAATTCTTTAAATTTATATATGATCAATCAACAGGTTTACAATTAAGTTCTTGTGAAAAATTAGTGCTGAGATGCGTTTTGTTTTATATATATATTCTAAAGATTTAATAAATCATATCCATTGAAATCAGATTTATTCTAAATGAATAAAATTTAATATATTATATAATTTATATGTTCCTTCACTATAATTCCATACGAAGATTGTTTTTATTTGTATATTAATCAAATTTAATATATATTTTCACAGGAAATTGCGGTTATCTTAGAAATTCAATTAAGTCAGCTGTACAAATGGTAATTTCCTTGAGTTCTTCATTGCCTTCTAATAAGAGTTTATAATAAATAAAAGACTTTTCTTCTTGATTAATCGAAAATTTCAAACTTTAAGTTTAAGATTAAATTACATTTAATAGTTAAAGAGAGCCATTAATTTAAACATAGGAAGAATATTCTTATTATGTAATAAATTAAATTAATTGTTTAATTTTGCTATTGCATATTTTTTCAAAGGAGTAAAATTAAGTTATATCTCTACCAAAAGATTTTTTTTAAAGACAACCTCAAATCCCGATAATATTTTAAAAAACATATTTGCAAATTATAAAATTTTTTTCGTTCATTATTTTTAGTAAAAAAATATTATGCAATGATGAAATTTAAGTTACATATACAAATTACAAGTAAATAATATATATTTATTATTTTATACGCTCAAAAAGATGAATATACTTTTTATAGCTATTATATACCACAATTGGTTATCTTATTTTATTTAAAAATTTATATTTCCATTATGATTAATTCCTAGTTATAACAAACTTGGTATTTGAAGAGAAAATTTAACAAATTTGAAAATAGTAATGTATTAATTTAATGAAAGTAACTAAAATTTATTTACTAGCTTAGCATTTTTTTTTGCTCATATAATTTTTTAAAATGATAACTTATTTTTTGATATTAGAAACTGAATATTTACATCATGTGTTATTTTAAATTAAATTTTTAATATAAGTACAACAGAAATTTTAATTCTATTGGCAACTTATTTTTTGCTACTCTTGTTGGAACATATTTATTAAACAATGTAAATTAAAAAAAATTCTTAGGTGCAAATTTATGTATTATGAATTGCATCATTTTATTTTGTTTAAATTCCACTTTCAGTAACGTAATATCAATCAAATTTATTACTTATTTAAATTATGTCATATAATCTTACATTATATAATATACATTTTTATTATAAAACTCATGATTTTCTTCACATATTTTAATTTTTAGGATTTGGATCATATGAAAATCCTTTTCAATATAACAATAAATGATATTTATTAGTTACAATTTAAATATACACCTTTTTAACAAATACCCAAACCGATACTGCTGGTACCAAAAAATATGAATATATATTTATTGAAAAACAAAGATAATTATTTAATATAATAATTTTATTATTATATAATTTATTGAATTTATAGAGTTAATCAAATATAAAAATAAGAAATTAGAAATAAAAGATTAACAGATTTTATTTTTATTCCAATTTGCTTCATATAACAAACTTTGGCTATACCAATATTAAATATTGTATTGGGACTGATGTTGACCATTTTAAAAAAATTGGGTTGGGCTGATATCCAATTTAATCTGATATTTTCATTGTTTGTGGATATGATTATATATTATAATTATATAAGATTTTTTATTTTGCACATAATTTTTAATTTTATCAATAATAAATGAATAAAAGGAATCAAACTTTTATTTGTAATGTTTAAAAAAATCTAATTATTTAAAAAGAGTAACCATTTTTTTCATAAATTATTGCAATATCAACAAAAATACAATTTACAAAATTCAAGCCGTTAAAATTACCTTTTGAGGAATAAAAAACAAAATATATTTAATTATTAATGACTATGCAATTTATTGCCTTGGTTATGAGAAACAGTCAATTTTAAAGTTTTTCTTGTTTTGCATATAGTTTACTAGTTATTTTTATGGGCATACTTAGTGTTGTTAAACGGCTCATTTATAGCCGATTTTTAAAAACGGCTAACTCAATATTTTTGCCTGAAAAATATAGCCTAAGCCTTGAGATTTCGCTAATAGATGTCCAAACCTTTGTTCCTTCTACAAACAAAATCTTCAGGCTTGAGTTAAATTATTCTGGATGAAATAGTGAGTTAGCCGTTTTTAAAAATCGGTTCAAAATGAGCCGTTTAATAACACTAGGTATACTGATACAAATTTTTGGAGACTAATCTGATGATATTGCCAATTTTCAATTTATGTTTGGCCAATTACCAATCTAAAATTAAGAATTTGATGTTCATTATCAGGGACCCAGATTGAGCCGGAACAAACAGCTAAGACATTATAGACCTTTATAAATATCTGAACAGTAGCCATAGCCAAACTGATATAATTTTTGTTTGAAAGAGTAAAAAGAACCTTTATAAAAAAGGTTAATCCAGTTCAACTATAATAAAATAAATAACTTTCATTCTTTTCCTTGTGGTGTATTACATATTTTACCATATCTGTGTCATTATTTGTAAGTATTAAATGATCTAAAATATATTAATCTTTTCATTATGACTTAAATTGATCCACAATCTTTTAACTGCTTCATATAGTATTAGTATTTTCTCTTTTTGGGTATGCAAATCAAAATAACCAATTTGTAGATTTTTGATTAATTTAAGTATAATATCACCACTTACCCATGAATAGTTTGATAGAAGGGTCATTATTCCCATATAAATTTCAAAAATGACTTATATAAGGTTTAAATTTTATATATTATTTATAGAATTTTGGCATTTGAGTATATTTTAAAGCATTTAATCATAGCTTTTTTTGAAAAATAGATTTTGTGTTGTCTTGAAGTGCAAGTATATTTGCAAATTTTCAAATCTGTTTTTTATATTATTTTTCAGGTGTGAGGAATTGTAAATTTTTAACTAATAATATATATCTATATATTCTTTGCAAATTGATGATGTATTCTAATTAGGTTATCAATATCATAATTTACAATATTTGTTTGCTCTGACCTCATATTTTTGTTGTATTTATTTCTTATAGTATTAGAGCCATATTTCTATTTTCTATATTTTAGATGCAAAATATCAAAATAACCATTTTTTGATTTAGTTGCATTTATAGATTTTATATATATTGGGAATCAAGAACATTTGAATATCCAGAACCATAGAAACTTGCTCTTATAGTATTTGCGGTTTCTGCAACACAAGTTTCTGCTGAAGGGGCCTTTTCGGGGCTAAAATATGTGCTATCACAACGAACAAATATGGATCCACTTATATTAGAAAATATATTACTTATATAATAAAAATAAATTTTTCATCTATTTTATAAATAAACAATATATTAACTTAAGTGATGGCAAAATTTTTAATAAATAATATTTATAATTAAAATCATTATACGATGGTGTTACTTCAATAAAAATAATTTTAAAAAAAATTCCTAACGGTAATGAACCTTTATAAACTTTTACAATTAGCTGAACCTAACCGAAACTTTATAAATTTTTTCTTAAGAACTAACTGAACCGTAATTATTATAATTTTTTACATAGCTAACCATACTGAACCGTTATAAATAAAGGTTCGGGTCCCTGTTCATTATACATGCACTTAATATATTTAATTTTTTAATGTATCCATTTGCTTTTAGTATACCATCCATCAATTATGATTATATTATAACCACTACATAAGTCATAAAATATACTGTCAAATTTTAATTTATATTTTATAGAGCTCTGCCAATCCACAAATTTTTCACTAAACTATGATCTGATATTTTTCGATATTACTACAAAACCGATCCGATAATCGATACCGATCCGATATTTAAATTAATTTTATTTACCATCTATCACTGAATCAATGTCATAAAAAAATCATTATTTTCTTTTTTAAAATAAAAACAATAAATGATTAAATATATTTTTTTTTTTTTAAATTCTCAAAAAGTTAATTTATCTTATGGGAATATTTATGGCTGAATGTAACATTTTTAAACTACTAGCATAAGCTAATTTTTAAAAACTTAAGAATTACGATTTTAGTCAAAATATTGCCTAAGCTACTAAATTTTGACAATAGATGTCCAAGCCTATGAGCAAAATATTTAAGTTTGGATAATTTACTTTTGACTAAAATCTTAAGTTAGCCTTTTTTCAAAATTGGCCTAATCGAGTCGTTTAACAACACTAGCTTAATGTGACCGGTTATATATATTTTAAAATCTCTTTCTTGTAGATAATATAACAAAAAAATTAAATTTTTAGCTATACTCTATCTTCTAAAATAATTTGATTCTTTTTTGAACATTACAAATAAATTGAATTTTGGTTCCTTATATTAATTTATCATATTAATTTATCATATTTTTTTTGAATTAATTCTTTTATTATGAAATTATGTATAAATTAAAATGATAATAATTATATATAAAATCATAGTATAACCAAAAAACATTAAAAATATTGAATCGGATCAGTTTTTAAAAATCGGCCAGATCTGTAAAACGTTAAATATTGGTTCGATCGGTCGATAATGATGTTTTAAAAGGCAAAAAAGGGGTCCGTTTCTATATAATAAAAAAATATTGGTACATTTCTAGTTATCCATTTTTTTATATTGGTTCAAAAATGAATGGCAAATACAAATCCATCTAAATTATCGTAATCGGTTATTTGAACCAGTTTTTGTACGAATTTTGGATTGGATCGGTTAAAATTTTTTGGATGGCACAGTCATACAATAAATTTTAAAATAATTTTTTTCCCTCTAAGATTGATATCAAAGTTTTAAATTTCAACAAATAATTTTGTTCCTTACAAACTCAAATTTATATTAACACCGCATTCATATTGGTAATCTTTTGAGGATGTCTTTGAACTCTTAAAATGTATGTTATAATTTGTTTATATATAACATATATCATAAAATTTTTATATTTATAAAATATAAGTTAAGAACACCTTTTCATAGGGACGGCGGCATGGAACGGAACAGGAACACAAAAATACCCTCGTTCTGGGTCTCTTCTTAAAATTGAAAGTATAAACCGATATCGTTACTGACTGATGCCTTGAGTGTCAGCCTGTCATCAGCACATTTCTAATTAAATATATATTTTTTTAAATATAACCAAAATCCAATTAAAAATGGACAAAAGCAAAAACGTAATTTATCGGTTTTTTATTGCAGAGAAACATTTAAAGAATTTAAATAGTTTTTTCTAAGACTATGCCCTAAATATATTTAAAAAAATTTCATAACTTTGGTAAAATTATGAAACTTGTCTAAAATCTTCCATTAAAATTTTCTAAAAGTTTTATAAATCTTGAAAATTATAATTCCTACCAAACTAGTTTTCATTTAAATACTTCCCATTTAATATAACTGCCCATTTTTATTATATTTTGAAAAATATAAATTTATTATTGCTTATTTATTTTTCATAAAAATTTCACAACTCTATAAACTCTAGGCCAAAATTTATTAAATTTTAATTAATAAACTTTCAAATTCGAAAATGATAGAGACCCCTTTTTATTTTTACAATAAAAATAGCTTCTTTTTTCGAAAATTACGAAAGTTGATTTATTATATTTTTGATATTTGGGACACGGTCTAAACAAAAAATAACAATTTTTTTACTTATTTTTAGGAAACCTCTCCTGGATTTATTCATAACCTTACATTCAAGATTAGAATCAAGAAATTGATCATTAACAACGATACGCCTTCATTCACGATTTAATGAATAAGCCAATTAGCCAACTATTCACTAAGAGAGATCATTAAAAAGACACATTAAAGGAATCATTCTTCGTTAGTGTAAAAGGATTTTAATATTTTTTTAAACGCTCCAAAAATTAACAATGAGAAATTATTTTTCCTTCATGTTTCCGAGCCCACACGAAAACCAACCATATAGTCTACAATACATTTTCATATGTTTGTTTTTGGCGATAATTCCGTTGGGGTGGATCTACTTCCGGAAGAGCGTTGTGAAATGGTGTATAATCTCATACAAGACTATCCCCAGGGATTTGAGGTTCGGTTTTCGATATTAATTATGGATTTTTTAAATTTCATATTTTAGAGTAAAATCTAGAGAAAAGGGAGAAAGGGTATAAGGATAAGATTATTAATAAAAGCGATAAGTAAAAATAAATAATAATAAAGAAAATATTTGATATTTGGCCTCATGACATGGAAAGATAATCAGTATCATGATCAGCAAATTAGTCAAATTTACATATAATAAGCATATTTGTTATAAATATTTAAATTAAAAAAAATGTCTACCTATTTTCTATTTAGAGGACTTTCCTGCCTTTTGCGCTACCGCTATCGCCTTTGGCGATTCAAAAAAGCCAACGGGACTATTGCTGGCCTCTTTTTTTCGCGCTCTCTCCGCAAATGGGCCAACGAGATGGCTTTCCTTTTTGAAGACCAAGAATGGACTTACAAGAGGGTGCGTCAACATTATATAAAAATTAGGAATATACAAATACATACCTTCTGAAAAGTAAATGATTGTTATGATCACAATCACTTTACTGAGATGATTGATAAGCCATGCCTAGATACCTTGGGTGGCATTTGCTTAGTTTAACAAAGTGGCAATCTGAGCTTGCACTATATATTGTAGGAGGGGGGGGGGGGTAGTGCTTCATTCATCCACCTATTTCATGGACTGTTTCTGCCAATGTAAGCACCTAGGTAAGGCCTCTATTTGCTAAAACATTGTTTACACCTTGTTCGATGGCCTGTTGTAAAACGTTCACTTTAACTGTTATGTTTTAAAACGAGATGTTTTATGACCCTTGGATTTTAATGTAATCAAGATGCCCAATATAAATGAATTATATTTATTTTCAAACGATTTAATATCATTATTTAATAACTTTACCCACTCCAACTCTCTCTAAAATAGGCTGCAGATTACGCTAACGCCGTCGCTCTCTATTTCTACGAAAACGGGTTTGGGCCTTCCAAGAATATGACGTCTCAAATGGAACAGCCAGAGACCGAGACTGAAGGAGACGAGAACGAAAATGCAGGTCTTGAACAAAAAAACAACAAAAAATAAGGAAGGAAATTGAGAGGGATAAAGATTTGAATTGAATTTTAAATCCACGAAATAAAAAAAAACTATACTTATTTCCCGTGGATACATTTAAATTTATTAATCATTAATTACAACGAGGAACTGGTTTTTTAAAAAAAATAAAAGTAATATTTACGATTTGCCTATCTTAAAAGACTAGATAAGGCATATTTTTTTAAAAAAATTTGTAATGGCTCATTGAAGGTGGTTCAATAAACTAATCTAAAAAAATATCTAATCCAGAACATTAATATGGATGGTGTTTGAGTTAATGTGTTTTTCTTAAAATTTTTATTTCTCGTAATAATTTTAAAGAATTTTATAAGGCCTATATTATATCCAAGCTCGATTTTTTTTGTTTTTACTCCAATGCATTAAGATACCGTCGATGACATTAATACTAACCGAGACGGGCGATTCCTTCATTCATTAATTAAAAAGTGTACCTGCACCGAAATCCACCTTTAGACGAAATGTATCTTTCAATGGCTTCTATTACAGCCATTGATATTTACTAACAGTTAACTAATTATTTAAATTTTTTTATAGTTAAAATTTTTAAACGCATTGAGAACATCTTTTAGGCCTCGTTTGTAAAGCGGGAGGCTAGCTATTGCGTAATTAATTTATCCTAAACCATAGCATAACTATAATTTAGCCATTGTGTTTGGTTTATTTTTTTTGAGAATACTTAAACATGATTTTTGATCTAATTTTACCTAAAATTCTAAATTTTCCTTGAAAGAAAAATTATATATTTATAAGTAAATCTTTTGTGATTTATTCACAAAAAATCATTCTATTCTATTCTATCCTATTTAGTTTGAGTAATTTATTGATGAATTTTATGTTATAAGTAATCAAATTTGGACATGGTCTAATATGGCACCATACCTGTTTGATTTCAGCACCTAATGTATCAATAATTGATTGCTCAAATTATCGAAATTTTGGTTCACACGCGCGATCGATAATTTTGCGTGTCCAGTGGCGCGGGCATGGAGAGGAGGTGAGGTGTCCCCCTTTTGAAAAATAAGAATTTTTTTTAAAAATTTTTTATTTTAATTTACTAAATTAATGATAAATGCTTGAAATTTAGAAAACTATTTATATGTTTTTAATTTATTATAAATAATAATTGATCTACAATATTTGATTATTTATATATTTTTTAAAATAAATTTTAAATTATTTTGCATTGCATAAAACTTGTTTAGTTTGACATATTTCACTTTCTTTCTTTCTTTTTGTCAATATGAAAAAAACAATCATTAATTTGTTCCTATTTCAACAAATGTCAAGCACAGACATAACCTATATCTACTACTTTATCATGACATCCACTCAAAAAAAGAAACGAAATAGATTTTGTCCGACTATATTTACTGAAAGACAAGAGTCGGTGAAACTCTTTATTGAACTATATGATATTGTATTTGCAGCACCGGAATTTTATATATCAAGCAAGGAAAAAGATTTGGCAGATGCTGAGAATCTTTTGCAGGCTATTATTAAGCTACAATCTTTAATATCAATTCAATGTGTTTTTTATTTAATTATACATATGATTTTTGCAAAATGCTACAAAAAATTGATTTGGATTTAAGGGAGGTTATGAATAGAGCAAAGGATATTGTTGAAATATTAACGAGTATCAGAGAGAAAATATGGATGAAAAATTTCATGAAATATATAAGAAAGTAAAGGATATTGCTAATATGCTTAAGATTGAAATTTTTAAACCTGTAGTTTCTAGACAATCCAATCGCTCAAATATTGATGCATCTACTATTAAGGATTTTTATAAAATAAACATTTTTATTCCCCTTATTGATACATTTTTATTTAAATTAAAGGAAAAATTTATTAGTCATGATTTTATTTTAAAAATTTCTTATTTTATTTAGCCAGTTGAGTCTAAACTGTTGATTACACTTAAACTAAAGATCTGCATTCGGGTTGGGCCTAATATTTCAGGCCGGGTGGGTCAGGTCTTGGATTTTTAAAAAAATATATTTAAATATATCAATTTTGTGTTGAATTTTTTATATAAAATAAAAATATTTGATTTTATTTATAGAAACTAGACGCCATATAACATATATCTTTTATTTTGAGTAATTATAAAATTTAATTTCTATATTTAAATAAATTAGGGCCGGGCCGGCATTTTTTAAAAAATTTCGGGCCTGGTCAGGCTTGAAAAATTAGGCCCGATGCAGATCACTACTTGAAACACAAGAGGATATTAAGAAAATCTCAAAGTTTAACGCTGATGATTTAGTAGGCTCATATTATAATTTACTTTGTGATGTTTTTGGTTTCAACCAAAAAATGCTCTGCCGGCCCTTTCCATGTATAATTGCACTTTAGATTCCCTGCCTAATATTAAAACATTATTAATTGTTTTAGCTGCCTTACCATTTAGTACCTGTACTAATTGAAGGTTTTTTTCAACTTTAAAAAGATTAAAAGCCTATTTAAGGAATACCACCGATGAAAAACGTTTAAATAGATTAGCCCTATTAAATATTTATAAAAAGATTATTCAAGATAAAAATTATATTCTAGAAGAATTAGCAAAATCTCAGAGAAAAGTAGACCTCTTTTTTAAATTCAAATCAAAAAATTGCAATATGTTATAATATTTTGATAATGTCATATTTTTAAATACCATTACCACTGATGAAAAACGTTTAAATAGATTAGCCCTATTAAATATTTATAAGGAGATTATTCAAGATAAAAATTATATTCTAGAAGAATTAGCAAAATCTCAGAGAAAAGTAGACCTCTTTTTATAAATTCAAATCAAAAAATTGCAATATGTTATAATATTTTGATAATGTCATATTTTTAAATACCATTATTTGCATAAAAATTACTTTAATTTTATGTAATTGTTAAATTACTTTTTTTAAATAGAGTTTTTATACAATAAAATTTTTAATATTATAATCTGTATAAAATTCTACATTTTGAAATTTATTTTAAATAATAAAAATAAATACATGATTAAATAAATGAATGTTATCTATGCTAAAGTATTTTTATATAATAAATAAAATCTATAATGAAATACTCTCAAAAATTTTCTTATATGCATATATTTATAATAATTTTAACTTACCCTAAGATATAAGCAATTGAGTGTTCATAAAAAATGGGAGATTTAGAGGGCTATTTTTACCCCCCCCCCCCATGAGAACCTCCTACGCCACTGTGCATGTTTTGTTATTTAAAATCAGTTTTAACTTTAGGTCAATCGAGATATCTTTTAATAATTGAGAACTTTTCGTTACTCGAATAATTAAAAAAAAATCATGGCATTGATATATAAATCAATATTAGACTTTAAATCCTCTTGGAATGGATTTCTTTTTTAATGGCCGATTGTCATATTGTATAGCTGGAAAAGTGTAGTAATTAGCCCTCGCTTGAGTAAATACTTTTTAGAATATTATTAGTTAATTTGTTCGTTGGTCTTTTTCTTTTTATGCTATCAGAATCGTATTCGTATTTAATCGCGCATATTTTCTTCTCTAAACTTTCGCGAAATGATTATATTTTTTTACAATGGTTGTATATCTTTCCGAAAGCTGGGCAACGTCTTGGATGTTTTTTATTAAATTTAACGCATAAGCGGCTGTTATAATTGTAATAGTTACTTGCATTAGTATAGTCATCTCTGTGATCGTTATAGTTGTAATGATAGTTTCTTCTCTATCTTGTATATTTTGATTTCTTTTATGATCATTATTATCTTTATCAATGTATTTTTTATTATCTTTCTCTTATTTTTGGAATTTATTATTTATGTAATTATTATCACCATACTTTTTGCGATAATCGTCTCTATTTTTAATATGATATATTGTCTATGTTGTTTTTAGTTAGACGTCCATCCTTTTAATAGTAAGAGCAAGTTCCACGATTTTATTTAGTTGTGAGAATGCTAGTAGTTCCTTGTCTAAGTAACATTTTCAGTCCTGCAATATATTGATCGCGGATTCGTAATTCGATATTTACCGTCGCACAACGGCGGTAAAATTTTTTTTTAGATTATCACCCGTTATTGGAATATTTTTATAAGTGTATATTTTATATCAATATAATCTAATATAGGTATGTCATTAGTATATTTTTAATTGTTATTTTTGTTATATCCCCATTTTTATTTACTATTAATTTATTTTTATTTATTCAAAGGTTATAACATTAAATTTTCTTTTTATTTTTTATATTTTTTTCTCTCACTTTTGTGGAGTAATTTTAAATTTCTTTGGAGTTTTTAAGTTTAATAATTTTAATTATATACTTTTGCCCAAATTATTTTTTTATTTTATAACATTAGAAGAATATTTAATTTTTTTAAAAAAAATCGTCGCCATTATATTTTAGCTCCAAGTTCCCTTTTTAAATGATCATATTTCTATTAGTTTTAATTATTATATATTATATTTTTTAATATAAGAACTAGCGATATATATGTTTTTTTAATAAACTAATAAAGGCATAATATACTTAAAGGTTATTAAAGTATTTTATATATATAATATTTAAATTATTATTAGAACCGAAATAATATTAATAAAACTAAAAGGATCTTAAAAATATATAGCAGAGACCTGCAGGCCCGGCCCTAAGCCTGGCCCCGGTACATATCCGGACCAGGCCTAAAAATTTTTTTAGAAAATACCCTAGCTCCATATTTTGAAACCAAATATTTTAAATCGCCATTATTTAGCTTAAAAATATAAATCCCGGGCTGGGCCGTAAAAAATCCGGGCCGGGCCCTGCCGTCTGATATATAGTATGAAGATACTTAAGTATAGATATAATATATGTATTACATTTGATGTTATAGTTTATTAATGGCTATTTCTAAGTATCACTAATGGACAATATCCATTAGAGATCTAAAACTAGGCCTAGCACGAACCCCTCCTAGACCTAAACGTACTCTGTCGAGTTTAAATTTTGAAATAAAATAGATTTAATTTTAAAATTTTTGCAAGAAACAAAGGCCAATATTTTTTATTTGTTTGTAGAATAATCAAAAACTCGATAATGTTCATTGCAAGAATGTGAAACCTATCTAATTTTTATTTCGAGTCGGGCTTTTCAGGACAAATAAAAAAGATTCTTTTGAGATCAAGCCCAGCTAAAAATTTCTGGCCGAGTAATTATGAACTGTTTCTTTCTACTATAATCGACCTTTGATCTTCATCTTATTTTTTAAAATAATGTTATATAGAACCGGAAATTTTATTTTAAGTTATAATTTCATTAAAAAAAATTTTTTAAATAAAATATAGCACTCATATATTATAAATACAATTTTAAATGAATAAATTACTAAAAATGTGGGTCAATTTTTTTAAAATTTATTCCATAAATAAAATTAAATGTGGATACTACTGAATTGAGACCAAAAGGAATTCCTTTTTTCCGTTCATGGGTTCTTTTGTATTTGTATTTAATTTATTGTTTATTTAATAAAAGAAAAATTTTTTAAAAATTATTAATTGAACCAAATGTCATACGTTTTATGATATATTATAAATAATAAGTAATATGATATGCATACATGTATTCTAAAATTAGATAATAAAAAAAAGTAATTACTTTTTTTCAGGAAATTTGCCACATTTTTTTTTTTAAAGTTGATCAGGGTTTTAAAAAAATCTTCAAAAATTCTTTGAGCAAAATATTTTCAAACAATAATTTTTGATTAAATTTTACCTAAATATGCCAAATATTTTTCATAAAATAATCCTTATAAATAGTGTTGTTAAAAGGCCCTATTTGGCTTTATTTTTAAAAACGGCCCGATTAAGATTTTTTAGTCAAATTAATATTTTGTAACCCTCGAGATTATCTATACCTAATATTTTAATTTGGCTAAAATCTTAATCGGGTTGTTTTTAACAACACTACTTATATTTAATGTTCGCACAAACCGGTGAGAGGTGGGGGAGAGGGAGGGGGTAAAGACAAAAATATTTTCGGGATGGGAAGCAGGTAAATCTCATGTATTTGACCTCTAATCGTTTCTGTCTTATGTAGATACTGAGAGTGTTGTTAAAAAGCTCGATAAATGGATTAAGATTTTTAGCCAAAATATTATTATGTGAGCCTCGAGATTTGGCAAATAGATATCCAAACCTTTCTGCCACCTACAAGCAAAACCTCCGGGCCTACATAATATTATTTTGGCTAAAATCTTGTTTAACAACTCTAATTATAAGTAATGATATGTTATAATTTTCATGCATAAAATATTCAAGAATTAAATCATGATTTTTTTTTCAAACTGTAATCTAGATAAGGATACTCTATTTTAACAAAATACATTGGTTTTATTTTAGAGGAACTTTTCATTGCAATTTTGCACCGAAAAGTATATATTTATTTGCAAAATATATTAAATCCTCCCCCCACCCTCCTCATTTGTTTTTTATTTGAGTAGCCTAAAAAATGGTTAGTTTTTAGGAAAAATTTATATTTTTTTTATTTGTAAAATAATTTTAGAAAATTGTTTCTCTTCCTGAGCTTAAGTCTCAGACAAATGGCTTCTATTATTACTGAATCAGTATTAATGAGATATATATAATCTAAAATAAATTTGATGAAGCTACTGAAGATTTGAGATAATAAATAAACAAGTATTATTAATTTTTAAAAGGCAGAAGTCATATAGACCACACGAGAATACTGAAGAGTTAATATGAATAAATGATTATATATTACATATTTGTTAAGAATAAAAAATATCGAAAAAAAGTAATTAGTACTCTATCCTAAACATTTTTTTCCCCACCCCTGCTATCAAATTTGAATTTTCTCTTGAAAATATACTTTTTAATCGCCTGATTTTTTATTTAGAATATAAAATAATTTATGATATCATTCAGAGACCTGCAGACTATTTGCACGGCCCAGCCCGGATTTTTTTAAAAAAAAATTTTCAACTCGACCTGGGTTTATATTTTCAGGTCCGGCCCGGATTCTTTTAAAATAAATTACATTCAAATATTCGATTTATAAATATACAGCACGGCCCTGGTATATTTAAAAAAATATTATTAAACCCTGCCCGGGTATTAAAAGATTTTTTTGGCCTAGCCCGACCCAGGTATATTTAAGAAAATTAAAATACGGCCCTACCCATGTACCCGGGCCTAGGGTCGGGCAGGGCCTGCACGTATCTGATATTATTTAATTTTGTTGCTGTAAACATTTCTAAATAAATCAAGCGCGTTCAACGTTCATTGGCAAAAATCGAACGCGTTCACATTCACGTTTAGAAAAAAGAAACGCGTTCACGTTCGTTCAAAATTTTATGATAAATTTTTTTTAGAATTAAATTTAAAATAAATAAATGTCTTATATTTTTTAACACAATATATTAGACATGTTAAAAAATGATAGTTTTATTTTGATTATATAATTATAAATACAATATAATATAGGGAATAAAAAAAAAATTTTTTTATAAAAAATTTTTCTTAACAATTGTTTTAAAAATTTTCATCTGATAGACAGGAAAGCTTGGCAGTTAATATGACATTAGTTAAACTAAAAACGCGTTCTACAGGGGCAGATGAGGGGCGGTATTATACTTAATAAACAACTCTTTTAACGTGGGTAAAAACATTTATTGTTTTGCCCTTTGCTTCAAAAAATTGAGATAAGTTATCTTCCTCTAACCCATCCACTACTACCTCGTCAAAAAAAGGATGTCTCGAAATTACCTGTTCTTGCATTATCATTTCTAGGGTTTTCAATGCATTTTTCCAATAACGCTATAAGTTTATTTTTTATAGGTTCGTTCTGTTGAAGTTTAATCCATGGCCATTGAAAGCTTAAATAGTGGGTGTATAATTGCAGAAAGAACTTATTAATCTTCATATATATGTTCATATCTTTTAAAAAACAAAATATATGTATAATTGATTTGTTAGCGATAGGTTTAATACCTTTTATTAATCCCATTTAATACTTCATCTATCAATGTGACCATATTTTAGGCCACTAATTTTTTTTAATTTTAAAATAACTATCGTTATCATGGCCGTCAAGTAGTCCAAATGCATTTTTTCATCAAATTTAAGATTTTGCTTGGTTATATTATATAAAATAATTAATATTAGAATCAAATGTCGTTTAAAATTGAAACTTGAAGATTTTGAAACTGATATAATACTTTTTGGGCACATTTTATATTTGGTAAGTATTGAATTAGTTCCTTCAATATAGGATGTTACTGTAAAATATTTATCATATTTGGGCTATTGTGTTAATTCATCTGATTTTGAATTTTCAGAATCAGATGATGATGATGATAGTGAAATAATAATATCCATGCTTATGCTAATCTATTAAATTAAAATATAAACAATAATATCCAAATTAATAAACTATAATAATGGCGTGTTAACAAAATTGAAATGTGAATAAGGAAAAACATTTGATTATAAAATATAAGACTTTTTACTTAAAAAATTCGGATTTATATTAAATTTTTCAAATAAATAAAAATTAGGTGTTTTTAAAATTGAACGAACGTTAAATTCGAACGCGTTCATCATAAAAAAGGAATGTGTTTCAAAGTTCGTCAAAAATAAAAGGAACGCCGTTCATTGAACGCGTTCGTTTACAACACTATTTAATTTATATCTTTAAAAATATTCATGACATTTTGTTGAAATGTTTACAGAGTATACAAAAAAAAGGAAAATAATAAATTATTGTAGTCATAATCAAATCGAGTGATGCGTTTTAAAAAAGAAACTTATATCTTTAAGAGGGCTTTCTAGCTAGCTTTCCCCCCATAAATTTTGATCACATTTCATTTTTTTGAATCATTTGATATATTTTAAAAAAATTCGATTTTCCTGCAGAGTTAAAATAAACAGCTGGAAATTGCGATTAGAAAGTAAGCTAGGGCGGCCTCTAATAAGACTGCGAATTTTAAAAATGTATTTACTACTTTATGGTATATATGAAAACTCATGTTACGTTTTACTTATCTTTGGTATCCTAACGAATAACTAAAATATGGTGACCGCTGATTTCAAAAATATCCTATTTCAAAGGCATTAGTTGAGTGTATGGTATTAATGGTGTTTTAGATTTACCAATCTTTAAATAAAAAATTAGACGAGATCCAAGTTGAGACCATCGATTCCACAAAGTCTAATCTTCCCTCTAACATATCACCCGAGAAACCCGTCGAGGAAGTCATAGCCCTCATGATGGAATCGAGACCCGAGTTCGTTTGCTTTTGGCTCGGGCTGAGCCGCATAGGCCTTAAGACAGCCCTCATCAACAATCACTTAAAGGGTGACGCTCTGACTTTCAGTTTAAAGGCACTGCCCATCAAAGCCCTCGTTTACGGGGTAGAATTCGAGGACGGTAAGGGACACTCAGATAATTTATCTGTTTTTATTTTATAAATTAATCATATTCTAGTTCCAGAGAAAGTGAGTGATAGTTCTAGAGGATTTGAAATATAAAATTATAGTGCTGTAAACGTTACATAAAAAAAACGCGATACTCGTTACGTCAAAAAGAACGCGTTACCTTTACTCGCTACCTTGTGAAAAAAGGAACGCGAGTTATTCGTATAAAATAACGCTTTACTTGAATAAATATTATATACAAAAATTTTAATATAAATTAAATTTTACAAAAATAATATATTACAAGATGAGATCTTTTTATAATAATTTTTTTTTCTTATATATAATATAAATAAAATCAAAAATTATATATTATAAGATAAGATATTTTTATAGTAATTTTTTATTTATTTTTAACAATTGATTTTCAAAATTTTGGTTAAACAAGAGAGTGCTCAAGACATTTTTCGCCATGCCCACACGTTCAATAGCGCAGAGGATGGGAGGGTTGTATTTTATTTAATAAATATGAATTTTAATTGGGGGAATTTATTAAAAATTTAAGAATAATCCTTATTTTAAGTTTAGTCTGCGTTTTCTTTGTAAAGATATTTTCTCAAACTGGAAATAAGTTCAAGCTTTCTATTTTCGTTGACCTATAATCTTATCCAGGGCTGATCTAATTTAAATAGCGAGTGAATAATTGCTGATATATATTCATCTTTTTAGATGTGTTCGAATCTATTGAAAATAAATATAATCAAAATATAAGTAGTAAACAATATTTCAATTGAAATTATTTTATGTTTTAATATTATAATAGTTATCGTGGGAGTGAAATATCCCAAATGTTCTAAAATCGAAAGAGCCATAGCAACAGGTTCCACATATAAAATCATATATCATATTTTTTAATTAACACTAACCATACAATTATTTATGAACGATTTGTCATTATCTGAAGATCTCTGCAATTTGGATTCATCACAAGATTCGTCAAATTGGCTTTTCTCCTTAATGAGACTATTAATTTTACGGAGTTATAGAAAGAGTTCCATCTTGTTATAACCGGTTTAGTTAGATATTTTCCCGTTTTTTTTCTTCACAGTTTCGAGACTGCCCATGATTATTCCTGAATCGAGGAAATATTTGAGTTGGATAGACTATATATATATACCATTATTTTTTTTTATTGTCATAAAAAATGTTTCATATTGGGGTCAAAGCAGGTTAAATCATTTTCATCTGAAGAAATATTACAATAATATTATTTATAAAATAAATTATAATATTAGAGAATAAGAATATAAATTAACATATCTTGATTGATTCAATATTAATTAGATGAACAATATTGACTGAAAATTTAAAATAAAAATGAAGGAATTTGGTGGTTAATCTGACTTAAAAACTCGGCTTAAATTATTTATAAAATTTAATAAATAAGTAAAAATAATTTTACAATACAGTAAATATGTTTTTTTCCATATCTTTTAAGAAAAAATTTATAGCAAGTAACGTTTTGCGTTTCCGTCAAATAAACGTGTTACTCGTTACCTCTAGAAGAAGGTAACCAATGACGTTTCTTTTTTTACAAAAAACACCGTTAGTAACTACTCTACTTTTTTGATGTTACTTTACAGCACCATAAAATTATGATTTTAAGATATTGGAAGCTCATTAAAAGCCCCTCGGTCTTTTGAGAATCCCTAGATCTTCTGAGAACTAGTTAAGCATGCTTTATTTCATGAGTATATTTCACTTGGATTAAATTACTATGCTGTAGGCCTATTCAAAAACGATCGAATACCAAATCATTATTTGATTCTTATTCGATTTTGAATAGGCATGCTACGCGGTAATTTATTATGAGAATTTTATTTTAATGAGAGAGGTGTATAAAAATTAGATGCCGTTTTTTTATTTATTATTTCCAACCTGTTTCTAGAAGGAGTAGGGGGAGGGTAGGAAATATATTTTATCTGTTTTTGTTAAAATATTATTTATTCCAATTCTTTATTATATTAAATATATGAATTGAATGATCGAACCATTAAAATGAATGAAAATGGATGCCTATATAAAACATATGGAGTGCTGTTAGGAGCCTTCTTGGTCCATACTGATTTACTTTTATCTCAAAATCAAATCAACGCAAGAATAAATCAAATAATTTTTTATTTTAAATCGAACGAAAATTGTATTTTATTATAATCCTTTATTATATATATCTTTGAAAAAACAATTTAGATTAATACAAAGTATACTTTAGGAGTATAAAGACACAAAATCAATTTAAACCAATTATTTAACGTATATTAACCAATAAAATAGATAATTACGGGGAAGTAAATAATGGCTTAGTAAGTATCAGTTGAACACCTCAACATACCCCTCCTATTACCAAAGAAATTATCTCTTTCCTAAAATTTGACTCCTTTATTTAATGGATGTCGTTCACTCTTCCTAATTTTGTTTCCTTTCTTTCTGACCAACTTCGTTTTATCTATCAACATTTGAGCCCAAAGTTCATATACCTTTGCCTCAACAGCTTATTGTTCCTTTTTGGTTGCTCAACCATCTTCTTTTTGTTCTTAAAGAGGATGAAATATCGCTTAGCTAGTTTTAGTTTGGTCTTTTTGCTCTTGCTTGGTTCACTTAAGCGTTTATACTGGTCCACTATTCCTTCCAACTTAGCCGCAAATTGAACGTCCAAACGAGGGAAGAGCTTATGGCGAATCTGGTCCTCATTATCTTGAGAAGAGGCGGCTCTTAAGCCTTGCGAGATCACTGGATGAAGTTGCTTGATTTTGTCAATGTGATGTGTGTCTTCTTCTAAACGATTCAGTCTTTCTTTCAGTTTCAGGCCTTTTAATTCTGTTTTGTAGTAGTCGAACTTTAATTTTTTTTTCATATCAATCATCCTAGAATTCTTTTAGAATTCATCGATATCAAGCTAATACTGCCACTGTTACTGATTCTTTGAGGTGATCGCCTTTGGCTTCCATAGCATCTAATAGCCCTTCATTATTTATTTCTCCTCCCCAGCTAGCATCGTGAGGCTTAGAGTGTTTGCTTTATCATACTTGCTACCTTCTACTAGCATCGCGGGGTGCTTTTGAATCGTCTACCTTGCTTTGCCCTTGGTTGACAGCAACTAGCTCTTCAAAATTTTTACATTTATTTTAAAAATTTAAATCAAAATGAAGCTTTAATCGTTGCGCCTATAATGATAATTAATATATTTACCAACCTTATAACTAATTTTTTTAACCTATTCAATTTTTTATTAGGGAGCAATTTATTCTTTATAATTAGAAATTATATAATTTATTTTTAATCTATATTTCTCTTCAATTAAGCCGTCAAAGAAATTCAGTCCTCTATCGATCCGTCGATCAAATTACTCAAAGTCGGTTACGGCGTCCCACCGAATAAGACCTCTTCCACTTCGGAAAATATCGACAGAAAATTTGATTTCGGTCGGGAACTCCCCCAGGAGGCCATTTACAAGGCCAAAAACAGACATGGTAAAACATTTCAGTTATTCGTTCTTTCACCATCATATTATTTTAATATTCGTTCATTCGCCCATAATTTAACTTGTATATAGTAACAAATCTTTAGATATAACACAAAATCAGAGTCATTAAAAGATACTTTTAAATGGATCTAGATACAGATACATCGTTTAAAAACGTATTTAGGCAAAAATAGATATAATTTTTATCATACTTATAAGGCCTATTCAAAAATAAATCGAATAATTACGAATACGAATAATAAATTATTTGTTTTATCTGAATACGAATAATCATTTATTCGATTCGAATAAAACGAATTATTTATAATATTTAATAAATTGTTTAATAAATCTAACATTTGTCATTTCTATTGTTGACCTGCCAATCGGATAGGTGATGTGTTTGTGTTTATAAAAATTCTAGCACAAATTTAAAAATTTCTAAAGTGAAAATTTTTATTTGCCACATTTTTTGAATCTCACGAAAAGTTTATTTTTTGAATCTCATAATAAATTATATTAAAAATTACACAAACCAGAGGTACATAAAAATATATTACATTTCTACAATAATTATTGTTAGCTAGCCTAATTATGTTAGAGGAGAATGCTTCTGATGAAATTATGCTTGATGTTGTAGATGAGAAAATTTCCTCACAAAAGAGAGCAATCATATGGGATCAATATCAAATCTTTAAAGATAGTGAAAAGGCTGCTTGCAATCATTGCAAGAGTATTATAAAATGTAAAGGCAAAACAACATCTCCTCTTATTAATCATTATAATAGGTTTCATTCACACCTTAGTAAAAAAAAATAATAAAATTGACATTTTTTTAAAGTCTACACCAAATTCTTCAAAAAAAATTAATTTTAAGGATAATTTATTAAAATTATTTATAAATCATAATATTCCTTTTAAAATTATTAATTCTAATGATTTTAAAAATTTTATAAGTGATCTTGATTGTTCTGTAAAATCAATATGCTCCAATACTCTTAAATTGCACATGTATAATACATTTGCAGAAAAAGAACAATGGTAAAGAAAACAATATCTAAAAATAAAAGTCAGATTAATTTTTCATCTGACATTTGGACTAGCCCAACACAGGTTCCTTTTTTATGGCTAACAGCCCATTTTATTGATTATTATTTTAAAATAAATAATATAATTTTGGATGTCAGTCCAATAAATGAAACACATTCAGGTGAAAATATATTTAACCTTTGTCAAAATAATTAAAAATTATAATTTAGAGAATAAATTTTTTTATATAACTTTAGATAATGCAACTAATAATAAAACATTTATTGATACATCTTATCCCTTAATAAAAATAGGGCACATCCGATGCTTTGCCCATGTAATTAATTTAATTTCCAAAGAAATTTAAAAAATGTTAGACCCTTCAATTCTAAAACTAAGAAACATTATTAGAATGATTCGTAATTCCCCTCAAAAATTAAATTTATTAAAAAATATATGTAGTTCCCTACATTCTCCCCTAAATTTTTTAAAACCAAAATTGGATTGTGAAATAAGGTGGAATAGCACCTATCAAATGATTGAAAGGGGCTTATTGTTAAAGCCTGCTATAACAAAATTAGTTAATGAAGTAATAACTAACATTAAAATTCTTCAAGAAAAACAAATATCAGAGGTAAACTAAAATTTATAAATAGGTAAATAATACTTTATAAACATAACATACAGGAGGAATGGGACCATCTTGTAAAAATTAAATCTATCCTATTGCCTTTGTATGAGACTACAAATATGGTTTGTGGGGAAAATTATCCTACTTATAATTTGGTTATACCCTATTATATTCTAATTCTTAACAACTTAAAAAATAAGAAACCTTGTTTCCATAAATCCTTTAACAATAGTTTCAAAGTAGCATGTGATAAATTGTTGGGCTATTATAATTTAACTGCCGATGATGCAATAATAACCACAATATTAGATCCCAGGCTTTAAGTAGAATATTTTAAATCAATATCTGTTGATTATGATATTGATATATCCAAGTTAATGGACAAATTTAAAGAGATTTACAATAGATATATAGATATTTGATTTACCCCCATTTAAATATGATTTTATTTTATGAGCCCTTAATTATAACTGTCAAACAAATAAGGATAAAATTCAACAAAACAGGCTAGACATTGTTTTAAACAAAATAATATTCAACTGTGTGAAATAGATTTTTATCTTAGTGAACCAAGAGCAAAGAGTGATACTGACCCGTTAATGTGGTGGAAGGCAAATGCATATCGGATCCCCATACTCTCGAAAATGGCAAGGGATTATCTATCTATACAAGGAACATCAACTGCTTGTGAAAGGCTTTTCTCAGAACTAACACTATTCGATTCGAATTCGTTTTTGAATGGGCCTAATACTTATATATATGGCATATTTTTATTTTTACATAATACCCGATTATCTATACTCTTTATATATTTTTTTTATATGAATAATTCATATCAGAAATCCTGTTTTACATCTACACTTCCGGCACTACTGGCATGCCCAAGGCCGCCATGGTTTCCCATGTCAAGTAGGCATAATTTATCTCAATGGATTATATGTACCAAATTTAAATATAATTTAAAGTGGTCATGTAGAATCCACCTCTAAGAATAGTAGACACTTTCGGAGTGCACTTAGTTTTACGCTAATTCGAATCTCGCGATCTATAAATATTACGGGCAGCTAAATCTTACCATTTATTCGATTTTCCCGTCTTTTTATTATAATCCTTTCTTTCTCTGCAATAACATACCAAGGAGAATGGGAAGCATTATAATATCGATTAACTTAATTTATATATTAATTCAAAAAAATAGGTATTTTTACCTGACATACTTAGTGAGCCGCACACTGAAGATACGGAAGGAAGACGTCATTTACACTCCTCTGCCGTTGTACCATACCGCGGGTGGAATAATAGGTTTGTTTTATGAAATTGAGTTTTCGGGATTTATATTGGTTGTTAATCTTTTCAATCTTTATTGGGGTCATTTCTCAACAGAACGGTTTTATTTATTTGGGCAGCTTGGAAAAATTTAAACAAAATCAAGCTCTTTTTTAAAAATATGTTCATCAATTTGCCTGAGTTTCAAATCTATGTTAGGGCAAATTTTTACCGATTTTGTTATTGACTAGCAGTATATTGACTAGAGGTAGTCTATAGATAAATGTTCCGCGGGTGTAATAATAGGTGTTTTATGAAATTTAGGATTTATATTGTTGGTTAATATTTTCAATCTTTATTTCAAAAACTCAGAATATCAGTTAGTTCATTTTAAAAATAAAATAAGTTTGGAGTGTGTAACTGGGGTCATTTCCCAACAGAACAGTTTTATTTATTTGGGCAATTTGAGAAAATTTAAACAAAATCCTCTTTTTAAAAAAATATGTTATATATTATATATAACGCACTTTAATATAATTAATAATTGAAGAAAATCTCCTTATATATCCTACTAATAATACGAATAATTCTTGTTATTTGTAATGCTAAGATGAATGTTTATTTAAATACCTGAATGATTTATTGTCAGAAAATTGGCCACTGAAAATGAGTTTCTATTGACTCGCACGAAATTTGCCATCTCAAAAATATCCTCCCCCCCCCCCCTTTAAAAAAATATAAAATATTTTTCCTAAATATTAAAAAATATTATCAAGTAAGAATTAAAAAAATACACTTTTCCAAAAAAGATGCACGTCTTTGAACAAATTATATGTCTCCAAGGATACAATATGATATTTTTTTTTTACTAATATAAAAACCAGAGACCTGTTGAAGTCAAAATTATAAGTCAGGGCGGAATAAAAAAAAAATTATATTTAAGATCTTGACCGGGCTCAAAAATATAAAACTTGAGTTTATTCCTTTTTTTAAAACAAATCAGGGCTGGTCTCCTTATTTAAAATAATTTTGACTTTATTTCATAAAAAAATTTAACGGGAAATTGAAAATTGTAGGCAGTCAATGAATGTTAAACGATTCTTTTTATGTTCTCGTCGATTAATTGATATAATTTAAATCTGCCTCTGGGTTTATAATCTTCGATACAGGCCCAGGTTTTTTAAAAATTTATCATTTTACGGCTCACTCAGGGCTCGACTTTGGGGGGGGGGGAAGACCTGCTGGTTTCTAATCAAAATTGATGGCTTAAAAAATTAGGCAAGTTGGGAATCCCATTCTAAATTCCTCATTGTTTTATTTTTCCAATATATTTTGTGTTTTATTACATATAATTGATCCTTTTATACCAACTCAGCATACATACTACATTGTACCAATTTGGTTTGACCTACTCCGATTTGGTATCTTATCTTTTATGAGCCCATAAATGAATATTTGAATCCCACAATTATGGAAACCCGATTTTATTTCTCTTATCTTGGTTTAATAGCGTGTTTTTATGTACCTTTTTTTCCAGGTGAATATTTAGATGGAATACGACGCACAATGGATTGAGATCTAGAATTCTCTTGTTAATAAATCCCTATATATATTTTTTTATAACATTTTTTATAAACAATACATCTATATAGGTGTCGGTCAAAGCTTGTTATTGGGAAGCACGGTAGTGATAAAGAAGAAGTTTTCGGCAACCTCTTTCTGGGACGACTGCATCAAATATAATTGCACGGTTGGTTTAATATTTATATATATATAATCTATATTTTTTCTACTTTACCCAAAAAGTGTTCATGATAATTTAGAGCTTTTTTGTTTACATTAAAGAATGTAATTGGAAGGATGCGTATATTTATGCAAAGATGAATGAGGAGTCTTGTGGCGCACATGCGAATTGCATGCATATAATCATAAATGCTGCTCATTTTATGATTTATACGTTTTAATTGATAAAGATTTTTTTTAAGGTTAATTTCTAGCTTATTCATCTTATTTTTTATATAAAATATTTGGTTCATTTTTAAAAAAATGTGTGAATAGAATAAATAAATTATGTAAATACTTATGGTAGATTTTGTAAAAGTAAATTTATAAAAGGATTCTGCAAGATTAAATTCATTTATAAAACAGAGATGAAATTTTAAAATAAATATATGGAAAGAATATATATATGTAAATATGATAGGTGTTATAAATATAAAGCGATAGGATTTGCAATATTAAATCAAAAGGAAAACATCTAGCTGAAGTTCTAAAATTTGTGATAATAAAGAATAAATATATGTATATAGTTTTTGTAAAAGTAACCCTAAAGGATTCATCAAAATTAAATCAATTTAAAAAAATTATCAAGCTGGATTATGTGTCTTTCTTTAGGCATAAGATAAAGGTTAAAAAGTTAACTAATATATTCATGTGCTTATTAGTTGAATAGAAATAGAATTCGGCAATATATTTATATTTAAAACAAAAAAGATAAATAATTTTAGTGGGTTGTAAGAACCTAATCCTATCGTTTGAGAGGCAAATGAAAATTTCAAAATGTTATTTTCATTAAATTGTTTAATTCTATCTAAACTATGTAGCCTAAATGCAGTCAGAGTTAATGTGTATATATATTTATATATGTATTTATTAAAACAGATTAAGGTTCGACTTATCCAAATGATAGTATATAATTAGATATTTATTTTTATCTGAAACATGCAGAGCTACTAGGTGGCTTAACCAAGATTTTCTCATAGGGGGGAGGGGGGTTAAATTTTTTGGGAGCATCGACCCCCCAAACCTTCCATTTTTTAGAAACACTCAATTGCTTATATCTTAGACTATGCTAAAATTATTTTAAATATTTATATAACAAAATTTTAGACATTATTTCATTATAGATTTTATTTATTATATAAAAATACTTTAGCATAAATAGCATTCTTTTATTTAATCATGTATTTATTTTTGTTTTAAAATGTAGATATTTTATACAGATTATAATATTAAAAATTTTATTGTATAAAAACTCTATTTAAAAAAAATGTAATTTAACCATTACATAAAATATAAGTAATTCTTATGAAAATAATGGTATTTAAAAAAATATGACGATAATATCAAAATATAAATAATACACTGTACTTTGATTAAAAATAGTATTAATTGCATAAATTTTAAGAGTTAATACAACAATTCTATAATTGTTATAACTAAGAATTCATTTTACGAAAAATTTTGATTATAAATATTATATATTAAAACAAATATAATCATATTGCAAATTTTTGATTTGAATTTATATAGAGAGGTCTACTTTTCTCTAATATTTTGCCAATTCATCTAGAATGATCTCCTTATAAATATTTAATAGGGCTTATCCATTTAAACGTTTTTCACCGGTGGTATTTCTTAAATATATTTTTAACCTTAGTTAAAAAAGATCTTTCATTAGTGTAGTTACTAATTGGTAAAGCTACTAAAATAATTAATAATGTTTTGATATTAGGCAGGGAATCAAAAGTGCAATTACACATGGAATGGGCCAGCAGAGCATTTTATGGTTGAAAGGATACTTATTCTGGCAAAATTTTATACCAAAATCCGACATCACAAAGTAACTTATATGAGCCTACTAAATCATCAGCGTAAAACTCTGAGATTTTCTTAATATCTTTTCATGTTTCAAGTGTAATCAACAGTTTAAACTCAACCGGCAAATAAAAGCTTTTAAAAATAAAATTATGACTAATAAATCATTCCTTTAATTGAAATAAAAATGTTTATTTTTAAAAAATCCTCAATCATAGATGCATTAATATTTGAGCGATTGGATTGCCTAGAAACTATTCTAGGTTTAAAAATTTCAATCCCAAACATATTAGCAATTTCCTTTACTTTCTCATATATTTCATGTAATTTTTCATCTATATTATCTGATATTTGTTAATATTTCAATATCCTATGCACTATTTATAACCTCCCTTAAATCCAAATAAATTTTTTATAGCATTTTGCTAAAATCATATGTAAAATTAAATAAAAAATGAACACATTAAATTAAAAATTGTATCTAATATTAAGGTTTTTACTTTAGGTAATGCAATATTAAACGCTTTATTAAGATAGGATTAAATATTTTATTTATTGTCATATAATTGGGAATATAAACAATTTGTTTTTAAAAAAAGTTGAATATGTCAAGAGTTATAGCTTAAACAAAATTATGATTTTGATTCATGGATATAACACATATCGGTCAAAATTTGGAATGCCCCTTTTAGCTCTAATAATGAACTGAAACCTTTTAGGCATTTTCTCGAACAATGCCTGGCAGTACAGTGTTTGGATACTTCATTTTCCAAAACATTTTTATTGGAATGCTTTATTTGCTGTGCGTACTACATTATTACAAATATTCTCAAAATCCAATGCAAACTTAGACCAGTGGCCAAAAACAAATTTTAATTATTCTATAAAGGTCCAATCTTTATATTTCTTTGCGAAATAGTATCGTTTCTTTGGTTAACTCTTAATGGAAATATTTTTTTCTTGGCCTATCATTAAACTAAAAATATACAGTTTGGTATAAAAATTAAAAGCACATAAAATTTACCGAAAGAATGAATTATTTTGTTGCTGGTGGAGGTAGGTAAAGTCTTTTTTGTATTTTCTTCTAATTTTTGAATCAAATGAACAAAATTTGATCCCCGATTTTCCCTGATAATTTATTGTAAACTACGTATATGCCTGTATGTTGTCACATTTTGACTCCTTATGGTCAATGCGAGCAGATTTAGTGGGATCAATTAACTTATTAATATCTCTGATCGTTTCTCTGCTTAAGTGTAGTTTTTCGACTATGGCTAAATTATTAATTCCTTCTACATGTAAATCAATAATTTTCTCTTACTCATCAAAGATCGGGTACACTAATTCCTAGCGGTTGTCCATTTAAAAAATCTCAAATTGGAACTGAATAATCAAGAATTCAGCTGCACTATATATAAAAAACTTAATATACTTTTTTTTCTTTTTCATATAGATGGAGCAAATGCCAACCGATGTAAACAGTTTAATAATGTTGTAATTGCAATCCTTAACTTAAAATTTTAAATTCAATCAAATATGGGCTTTCCCACTCTTCTAATCTATTTACTGACTACATGTTTATGGAATTACACAAATTCATTAAATACAAGAAAAATTATTGATATGATTTCTCATCTATGTATACGAATTCCTCTCCAATACTAACAAATTGCAATAAATAGACCCCAGAATTTAAAAATCGCGAAATATTCACCTGATTCATCAAACTATGTCTTCGTACCAATCATCAACTCGTTTCTTGTTACATTTGGTGATTTGTAAAAGAGCTTGGTTCATTTGCAATTCCACGGGGCAAATTTAAATTCAAATGGTGAAAAATTAAAGTTTAAATATGTTTTTACAGATATTTTAAAAGCAGATGATCTTACCTTCACTCTGACATTTGTTATTACATTTAAAACAATGACTAAAAATGAAATTAAAAAACGACGTTTTTTTCTGAATTACTATGAATTGTCATAACTTACTCGAGATTAGATATCCAAAATAAATTATTAAATCATTATTGGAATCTTGAATTGAAACTAACTTTGATTTAAAAAAAATCAAATTCAAGCCTCATTTTAACCGACCGTGTCGGCAAATTTAATAATATCGACCGATAATCAATATTTCAAAAAAGTCAAAAAAAAGTTCGATCCTATAAAAAAATATATCGGTACATCCTTAAAACTACCCAAAGCCAAAAATAACGCCGGTTTTACATTTTGTCTCATACCAATCTTTGCACGCAATTTTTGTATGTATTTATATTTTGACCAAAATGATTTTAATATGGTAATATTTAAGAAAATTTATTTACGTATAAATAAGAACATTCTTATACATAATTGAAGTGATAAATTATTTTTTAAATTTACAATAAAAAAATAATAAAATATATAATTTTTTTTATAAGAATGTTTATGATTTTAAAACTAAATAAATAATTTTAAAAACTAATTCTAACAGTTTGCATTGATCATAAATAGGGCTTCTCTATTTTCTACACATAGAAAAACTTTGGAGCAAAAAAATAATTAGGATTTTACTACATAAACAATCAATATTTTTAACCTTTACATTGATTATAATTGAATAAATATAAAATGATAGGTTATTTAAAATATGACAGCATTATTATAAACGAACTATGTTATGGTTGTAATATAATCATGATGGTATGTTCACTAAAGGTAGATGGATATATTAAAAAAGAAAATTAAAATTTTTATTATAGGATCGCTAACCGGTCCATATCAATTAAATATCGAAATCTTCTGGCCTACCAAAAAGTGATATAAATACATTCCTAGTGCGATTTATTAAAAAATTTTTGTAGAATATTTTTCATTGTATCCAGCTAGTAGAAATACAAGAAACCTGCAGGCCCACGCCTAAGCCAAGCCCGGGTACACGGGCCGGGTCATTTTTTTCTATACTCGGGCCAAGCCGTAATTATTTTTTAAAAAATACCCGACCCGGGCCAAATATTTTACAGTCGAGTATTTTAAATCACCATTATTACCTATTAAAAATTTAAGATAAAAGAAATATATTTAAAAATTGTGTATCATAGAACAATATAATACATTCATTCACTTATCTTATTTCCTATTTCCATTTTTTCTAACCTTGGAAAATATTTATAACAAAATATTAATCAACTAATCATTATTTTAGATAATATTCAATCAAATTAGAATCAACAAAAATGCACTCAATATTCAAAATAGAAGATATTTTTTAGGGAAAAATTTATTTTGGATAAGTATCATTTTATCTTTTTTTTTCTCTGTCCCACTGAGGCAATTACCTATTTTTGCCAGTGTGAGAGCACAAAATTACTGATACTTGTAAGGAATTTAGAAAGTGTGATTTCAAACTCGCTTCTTTTACGACAAATGGGGAGATAAGATAATTTGAAAAGTTGTTATATATGGATTTCATATTCGCTGAAAACGATTTGCTAAGTGACGAATAGATATATATTTTTAAAAAAACCAAGGTCGTTTACATCCAGGCCGAAAATTTTAAAGAAAATTGGGGCAGAAATTTTCTAAAATAAAATTCCAGGTCGGGCCTGAAAATATAAAACCTGGACCTGGGCCCCTAAATTTTTTCCCAAATCAGCAGGGCCATGCTAATGGTACCTCTGCAGGTCCTGGTTAATGTAAAGGAATAAAAAATATAGCTTGATTTAATTAAATGAATATCAATTTATAAAATTCCTATCAATCAATGTACTTTCTTTATTATCAACAAATATTTACTTGTGCATAAGAATTTTCAGATCATCAATAATCAGTAGTAGAGATTCTCTTAATAAATAATAATATATTTATTATCATTAGTAAAATTAAGAAGATAGGTTGATAAATAAGTTATATATTTTTATAAATATGATAAAATTAAGTGTATATTAAATTTTATATTATAAAGTTAATGACCACACAACTTAAATTTTTTTAATGAAACCAGCGTATTGATATCATAAACATAAAATGATTATTGAATTTTAAAATTTGTGCTCACCAATCAAGAATGAGCATTTATTTTTAGATAGATTCGTGCAATTCGCATATATGTAACAACACTCAATGAAAAGTCATTTTGAGAAATGTAAAAATAAACTATTTAATTATACCCCAATTTATATTGAATTTGAATAGGTGGCTCAATACATAGGCGAGACATGCCGTTATCTTCTTGCCCGCCCACCGTCTGACTGCGACAAAGATCACAAAGTTCGCCTCATATACGGGAATGGGCTGCGACGTCAAATTTGGCACGAATTTGTAGAACGATTCGATATACGTGAGGTGGGTGAATTCTACGGAGCTACCGAGAGTAACGCGAACATGGGTTAATATAAGCATTCATTTATTTTATCATTTTAATTAGTTTATTATTTATTCCTTTGCTGCCTTGTTGGAAGAAGGTCATGCAGTTGCTCTCACCTTCCTCTTTATTGATTCAATTATTCAAGGTAGTATTGTTAAAGTTAAGTTTCATTTTCTAGATGATTAAATTTGATTTTATTCTTTTAAAAAAAATAATCTAAACACATCTTTTGAGAAAATTTTTTTTCACTTTAAAATAACATACATCCTTGTTTTTTAAGTTGTATTATAACACTTAAAATTTCCTCCGCTTCATGCACAATTGGCCCCAAGCAGGGTTTCTAACCAAACTGCGAAACTGAAATGAACCGTTATAATTTCTGAATCAAGAAAATATGAAAAGTATGTTTTAAAATTTGGGTCTTTTTGAATTATAAAATACGTAATGTGATAAAAATTAAACATTTTAAAAGTAATATTTATTTTTTACAAAAACAGCGTGTTAAACATACTCCAACTATTAAATACATTATAATTATTTGTGCCTAATGATGTAAACGAACGCGTTCTTTTTTAAAAAAAAAATGATCGGCGTTCCTTTTATTTTTGACGAACTTTGAAAGTGAACACCTTCATTTTTTTGACGAACGCGTTTTGAATTTAACGTTCATTCAATTTTAAAAACACTTTTTATTTTTATTTATTTGAAAAATTTAATATTAATTCTAATTTTTTAAGAAAAAGTCTTATATATTTTAATCAACATTATAGTTTATTAATTTTAATATTATTGTTTATATTTTAATTTTATAGATTATCATAAGCATGGATATTATTATTTCATCATCTGATTCTAAAATTTAAAATCAGATGATATAACACAATGGCCCAAATATGATAAATATTTTACAGTAACATCCTATATTGAAGGAACTAATTCAATACTTACCAAATATAAAATGTGCAAAAAAGTATAATATCAGTTTCAAAATCTTTCCAATTTAAAACGTTATTTGATTGTAATATTAATTATTTTATATAATTTAACTAAGCAGCCAATTAATAATTTATTTTAGATTGTTCTAAGTAAAAATCATTAAATTTTTGATATTTTATACATACTTGATATCATTTAGTATTTATTTTTAATGTCAATTTTTGAAATTATAATCTAATTACTATTATTTTAAGCAAGGATTTTATATTTTAATTGTTGAACACAATTTGAAGTATAAATTTATATATTGTAGAAATAATTAACTTTTATATGATATATAAAAGTTTTATAAAATAGATTTCTTTGAATCTACTGTACCTAGGATTTTATATTTTTATTTACAATATTAAAATGCTATAAATGATAAATTTAATATTTTTATAAAAATATTTAAAAGAAAATAGTGATTATTGAATTAAATGAATCTGCAAATATTATAAAATAAGTATTAAAATTCAATCAAATATACATTTGCAAAATGTTTGTTATTTAATAAATTTTAATTTTAGGTAAATTATTTTATGTCACTACTTTACTATTACCAATTTAATGAAATATTATCATCTGTAGCATAATTTATCAAAAACTTCCTTTATTTTTACAGAGCTCTTACTTTGGTATGCTGCAAGAAATTAATGAATATTTAACAAATTTTAGTGATAATAATAATAAAAAATTAAAAGCTGATAAATTTTAACAACAATTTTTTTTATTATGAAAAAATACATCAAATGTGATGCAGTCACAAGTAGATGATGTAATTTTAAATTTTATAATAGAAGAACTAGGGCTATTTCATATAGTTAAAAAAAACCTGCCTTTTTAAATATGATAACCCTTTACAACCAAATAAAAATGCCAACCCATATCAAAAAAAATCTAAAAAATTTTAACATCATGCTAGGGAAAATAATAACTTGTTTAGCCAAACAATTCTTTGTAGCATATCAGATTCATGTTTAATAAATTCCTCTCGTTAAAAGAGTTGTTTAGTACCGCAGTCCCCTCTCTGCCCCTTTAGAGCGCGTTTTTAGTATAGCTAATGCCGTATTAACTGCCAATCAGATAAAAATTTTGAAAATAAGAAAAATTTTTTCTAAATAAAAATATCTTTTTATACGATATAATATATTGTGTTAAAAAATATAAGACTAAATTTAAAAAAAAATTTATCATAAAATTTTGAACGAACGTGAACGCGTTCATGTTTACAGCACTATTTGTGCCACACTCATCAAATACAATTGGTTTTGTAAGAATGATAGTATAGGAGTGTATTTAAATCGTTAACGCAAGCAAGCCAAAAAATTAAAATGAAAACCACAAAACACATTTTTATAAAGTTAAATGAAAATTAAAGATTCCTAAGACTGTGTCTTAGCTTTTTTTATTATCCTTTTAGAATTCTAAATATCTGTTCCGAATAGTGATTTTTAAATTAAAAAAATAATAGAAATAAGTTCATTCTTTAAACATATTTTTAAAAATAGCATCACTTTTTGTTAAAATCTAGAATTAAGAAAAAATAAAAATGTGCCCGGGCTGCTATTCTGATTAGAATTAAGAATAAAGATTTAAAGATCGAACTCTGGCTTCCTTGCAGGGTTCTAATTAAAACGTCCTACTTGATTAATCATCACAACTGGGTCACGTTATTTTAATCTCAAATTTATTTACAAATTAATCTTTCTCAAATTATAAAATTATGGAAGGCAACTGAAGAAGAAGATTATTAAAAACGTTGATTCTTTTATTTTTTAATTCTTTATTATCAAAACATTTTATATTTCAAAATCAAAACATACTACATAATAATGAAATCGAATAATACATTTGATTTAATTGGTTTACATTATGCATAAAATTTTAAAAACATTTTTTACAAAAATAAAATTATTTACAAGAAAAGAACAAATTATTTTAAGGTTAAACATTAAAGTAAGAAAATAAAAAATAACCTTTAAAACTTTTTCACAAAACTTAATTATTTTAAAGTAAGAACTAAGTGTAAGTTAAAAGAAAATGACCTTAATATAAAAATATAAAAGTTTTTTTTATAGTTAATACAAATATATCTTTTGACACTTTTTGTTATCTTCTTTCCTTCGATATAATCAAACATAACCACATCAGTGAACATAGACAATACGTTCGGAGCGGTTGGTTTCAATTCCGTGCTTTTTCCGTGCTTCTTGCCTATCACACTCATCAAAGTCGATTCGGAAACCGGGGAGCCCCTCAGGAGCCCTCATTCCGGTTTGTGCGTGAAGTGCAAACCAGGTTAGTTGAATTATAGTTTTTTTGCAATAATTTATTTTTAAAATTTAGATTATATATGTTGCTAATTTTTTCTCTCTCTCCAATACTGATGGTCACTCACATTAAGATAACGATCGGAAACACACCGATGCTTATAAAAATTTTTTTATAGTGTAACGTTTAAAAACTGCATAAAGATAAGATTGGTATATATTAGGACTAGGTTTGAATTCTGATTGCTCCAAGATTTTTAAATTAATATTTAAGCGTTTTGCTAATGATATACTTGACAATTCTTGTAGATACTTCTTTAAAATTTTAAAGTGTTCGAGATCTTATGGGTCCCCTAACGGCGTTACAGGAACTCATTCCTCCTAATAGTTTACTGGAATCGACCTGGCTAATTGCGAGGGTTGATTCTCTTATTAATGCATATATATTTTATTTACGAAAAAAGGTCAACCTGGGGAACTGGTTGGCAAGATAATCAAGAGTGACCCCGTTACAACTTTCCAGGGTTATTCTGACAGGGCCGCCACTCAAAAGAAGATAGTTAAAAATGTATTTAGAACTGGTGACGCCGCCTTCCTTACCGGTAATTCTTATTTAGATGAAATTGGAGGAAAGATGAGAAAGTTAGAACCACGTTAAAGGAGAGAGATGTATAATTAAAGAAAGAAAGTCGGAATAATGTCTTTAGGGCTAATAACTATGGTAATGAATAGGATATAAAGAGAAAAAAAATTAATCAATTGACAACGAAATATAATGAAGGACCACATGGCAGTCATCATTTAATTTAAATCCTAAATCGAACCTGTTTTTTGGTCGGCCCTCATGAATTTTGGAGAAACCAAGGACTTAAAAGTGGTAATTATTCGATGCCCAATGAACCGCTATTTAATAATTGTATTAGATTTGAAAATAAATTTTTTTATTCTGCATATCATTTTAAATATAAAAAATGTTTATAATCTGATGATAAAGTATGGACATCAAGTTATTAACGAAATGTATATAAATTTAATTTATAATTCCAAAGGAATTTTAAGATAGAAAGTTTTACTTACTGTTTCTTCTTTATAAGACGTGCTATTTTTTGACAACAAATTAGTTCCAACTAAGAAAAGCCTGTCACAAGCAGTTGAACTTATGGCATAACCTGCCAGATTTATAGTTTATCAATAGAAATGATTAAATTTTGATAAAAAATAATTATTCCAAATAATATGAATATTCCATCAAATGATTTATCTAATATTCGAATTATATGTTTTATTCCAATAATAGTCCTACTCAGAGTTGGGCAGGTCCTCCGAAAAAAGAATCTAGATACAGATTCTTTGTGAAAAAATGAATCTTAGATACAGATACTAGTATCTTTTTCAAAATATCAAAAAGATACAAGATAAAAGATACTTGTATCTTTTGCCTAATTAGAGTATCTTAAATACAAGATACTTTTAAATTATCATTATCAATTAAATTAGAATAGTTTATATGAAGAACATAACATACGCATATAATAAGAATGAATATTTACAATAATTAATAAAATATTTAATGATGAGTTAATTATAATAATCAGGCATTTTAATTAGTAATTAGTAGCCCATTCTTAGAATAGATAGGGAAGGGAGACTAGTATTTTTAATGGGAGTTGAAATATTAATTTGCAAGAGTATTTAAAATAGATTCATTATTTTATAAGATAATCTAATTTTTCAAATAATTTATCATTAGACCTTTGCCGTTTTGGCCTACTTAACATTGTGCCAAAACTAAATTATCTTTCAATTGGAGCTGATAAAGGTATTGCAGTATTATATTAATAAAAAATTTCCTTAATGAAAGGATAATAATTCAGCATTTATAATGTATTTCGACTTTCTTTAATATAATTTAAAGCCTCCCGTTCAATGTTCTTTATATTATTGAACTCAGCAACATTTGTTTCACCAAAAGAAAAATAATCGTTAAATGTATCGGTGTTATAGTTTGAGCTTGGTTATATACTCTGGTACTACATTTATGGCTTCTTTTATTAATATATTTTGTAAGTATTTGTTTTTATCATCTGACTCATTTCATAAGTTCTAAAATATGGATGTGATATTGATGTCAAAAAAGCCTTATTATATTCAAATCATATTAAAATTTTTCTTAAAATCAATTTCTCATACGACCTTAGGCAGCTTTTAATAAGGTAGCAATATTGTAAACTTGAATATTTAAGATAACGTATGCCCCTTTAAACCACACATAAATAATATACTTTAATATGTTTAACAAAATTTTTGTTTACCATTTATCCTTTTTTTTGTTTATACAGGTTTTACATCTAGCCTCTACATTGTCATTTTTAACTTTTATTTTTAAAAAATTTCTATATAAAATTTTAAGATTTTGATTTAATTTACGGGAACTTATTTCCATAATTTAAATTTCACTACCATGAGTGTTAATCATCCTACAAATTAAAAAAATATTACATAAAATTGGTAATGATATTTTATCGAATTACATTTATATATAAAATATAATCTTTACTTATTTCGTTTTGGTGCTGTTATTTTTTATCTATCTACCTATTATTAAACGGTTCCTTTTGAGCCGATTTTTAAAAACAGCTAACTCAATATTTCACACCGAAAGATCTTACGCAAGCCTGAAGATTTTGCTCATAGAAGGAACAAAGGTCTAGGCATACATTAATGAAATCTCGAGACTTAGGCAATATTTTTCTGGCTAAAATATTGAGTTAGCCGTTTTAAAAAATCGGCTCAAAATGAACCGTTTAACAACACCATATCTACCTTAATATGAGATGTAAATTTTCCAGCTAATTTTGATTTTCATTATATTTAAAATATGGTGAAAAAAAATAAGGAAATTACTATAAGATTCTCGAAGAAAATAAGATATATACTGTGATATGTAAAATTTTAAATGAATATTATAAAGAATCTGTATCTTTATCTTTTGTCAAAAATTAAAAAGATACAAGATTATTTTCAGAATTAAGGATCTTAGATACAGATACTAGTATCTTATTAAAAATGTCAAAAAGATACTGAGTACAAGATACAAAAGGATATTGTATCTAAGATACAAGTATTTACGGTACTACCCAACTCTGGTCCTACTACATAAATAGAAATATTAATAATTTTTCAACAAAAAACTATCTCCTTTTTCTCAAAAAGGTGATATTTTAATTCAAGACGAGCTGGGTTACTTTTATTTTATGGACCGAACTGGGGATACCTTCCGTTGGAAAGGCGAAAATGTTTCCACTATGGAAGTGGAACACGCCACGGCCAAAGTGTTGGGTGATAAGGAAGTCGTGGTTTATGGAGTGCCTGTTCTAGGTTAGTATTCATTTTGAAATTATTTATTTTTGAAATGAAATTTATGAATAATTTATTTGGAATATATTACATCCATTTTATTTCTTTTAAGAATCCAAATTATTTCTATATAAGATGCAAGAAGAATATATTAGAGATATTCTTCTGTACTACAACGAAACATTAAAATTTCATGGCAGCTCAGTTATTATTAAAGACACTTATAATTATGTTTACATAGGCTTAATATTCAAAAAAAAATAAAATATAATTGTAGTGTTACAACTTTAGTTATTAAAAAAAGAATTTACGAATATCATAGCGATGTTCGACTAATATTTTTTTAAAAAAATGTCATGGTACCATTTATGCCAAACGTAACATTTTTCAAATTTAACTAATATGCTTACAATACGATTATAGACACTCTTAATCTTAAACAATTACATTGATTAAAAATTGTTTATAGGTTGCTATGCAAATGTGTCGAACAAAAAAATATCCCTTTTCTTTAGACAGACTTAGAAAACGTTTTCCATACATAAATTTAAGCTTAATTTTTTGACAGGAATGGAAGGCAAAGCCGGCATGGCCACCGTTATTGATCCTACTCGCTCCATTACGCCACCTGAGCTTAAACGTCTTTTTACCGAGCTCAGTAACCGGCTTCCCCCTTATGCTAAGCCTGTCTTCATTAGACTATCACGGGAGATCGACATGACAAGTTTGTTAACATTTAATTATTTTTATCTCAATAACAGCAGAATGGCCAAGGCTGGCTGATCAACTTGCTAAAGAATATTCCTACATTTCTATTACCCTTTTACATGTTTTTTGTGAAAATGATGTAGGAAAAAAAATGTCAGACTCGAAATCTAAAATGGCCGAATATTTTTGGCAAACATTGTTATCCATTCAAATTATAAATATTTTTATAAGCGTGATTTCAATTGAATAGGCTCCTCTTCCCCTCCTCATAATTTATAAACGATGATAATATCAGTTAGACTATTGTGGTTATATACAGGCAGATACATTTTATTGATCCAACCAATTAGAATTAGATATCTATATAACTATTTTTATTCATAAGCTTTATTTTATTTCAAATCAATATTATTTTTTAAAATAAAAAATAAAAAAGGCACATTTAAACCTAAAAAGACCCAACTTTGCAAGGAAGGATTCGATCCAACCCTGACGGGAGACGATCCATTGTTTTACCTAGACGCTGCCAATCAAACCTATTCACCCGTTACCCAAGCTGTTTTTTGGCAGATTGCCGATCAAAAAATACGACTATGAAATGAACCTGATATTCAGTATCATTACATCGACCTATATGATAATGATATGATATATTATATTCCACAGATAAAATTATTGTTTAAAATGGCTTCTATTACAATTAAATAATTGGGATTAACTTCTATCACTATAAAAGAATAGGATTTTAATTTTTTTTAAAAACGATCAAAAATCCATAAGCGGAATCAACTACAACTCTATTCCTTTCATCAAACAATTAGATGTTTTTGAAGAAAATACTAAAATAAATTAAATATAAAAATGATAAACAATTTTTCCATATAACTTAGTATTAGTATTAAGGAAAAAATTCAAAAGTTCAACCAACCCCGTTCTCCTAAATAAAAAAACATGACCCCATATTCCTAGTAATATATTTCCGGTTAGTTTTAAAAACTTCTCCAATTTTTGATGAACATTATGATTTACTAAAAAAAAATTTTACAAAAAAACAATATATATTTTTTTTATCGAAACAATGACAAAATCTTTCTTGCAATATAAATAAACGCCATTTTATCCGCTAAGATGGGTTTGTATAACACGAAATACGCTTATTATTGATTAATAGCTTTGAATTAATAATTTAAAAAATAGATATTGAATATTGTTTGTTTTTTTGTCACAATATATTGTATAGTATAATTTTTTTTTTAAACAAATCGACTTCTTATATCAAACAAACGTGAAGAAAACTTGTTAAACTCCTTTTTTTAAAAAAAATTTTAACCATGTTATAGATAATGTATTATGTAAATATTAATTTTTTTTGAGATATGTGCTATTTCACCACGATTAAATATTTGATACTATTTTTTTTCCAAATTCGACGCGAAAAAACTATAATGTTGCTATTTTTTACAACACCAAAATAGCACCCTTTCAATTAATATTTAAAATTGCACATAATTGTTACGTCCGCCATTTTTTTGTTATTTTTCAGAATTACTATCTTTAAATTATATAATTCTTCTTTTTTAAGAAAAATTAAAGAATGTTTCTGTCATATAGTGAGTGGAATCGTGATATTCTTTTTTTGCAAAATACGATTATCACTGATATTGTAGACAGGATTACAGAATGTTATAATTTATACGATTGCAACCAACGAGATGTAAAGTGGGGTACCAGAATACCCCAGCGATTTTAAAACTATTTTATTACCAATTTATATGATTAAAGAAATATGGACGAGATATGAACAATTTTAGGGGGTCTGATGGACTCCATTCATATAATCTTAACCTACATTTTAATTTACGAACCCTTAAAAAATTCTCTTGTTTGAGTGCCCTGTCCTACATTCAAATTTGTGTTAAATTTAGATAGGAACATACGTTAATTTTTTATCAAAAACATTGCTATTTTTTAATTAAATTTACTTTTACTATATCAACGTGAACGCCTTGATACTCAGGTAGGGCATTTTAATTCTTAAGCGAAAAAATGTTATTAGCTTGTATATTCATAGAAAAAAAACTTTAATAATATATATATTCAAACTCTTTTCATATAAAATAATTATGGAGTTGTATAAATATTATTTATGTTAATTAATTTTTTTTACCAGATCTTTATTAGAATATATTTTTTTTCCATATTTAAGGTTAAACCTTATGTCATTTTTTTCTCCTGTGTACCCAAGTCTTTTATTTGTTAATTTTATTTTTTGTTAAATTGTATCCATTTAAAACGAAATTAAGATTTATAAGAAAAATTTATTGCTGAGAAATTATTAAATATTTGATATGTTGCCATATGAAGATAAGTCTAAATTATTCATTTAAAATGTTGTCATGTCCTTTAAAATTTATATACTAGGTATTCTAAGTCCTTCACAAAAGTCCAAGCCTCCGAACACTTATTTTAGGAATCTGAATTAAGGAAAATACAATTTTTCAAGGAAAATTATAAATGAGAAAATAATTTTTTATTAGCCATTTTCTTGAAAATAATATTATAAAAGCATTAGGTAAATATGATAATTTAAAATTTCCCCGAGGCTCTAGTCCATAATTTTTTTTAAAAATCCAAATCTGTCCTGAATAAAAATTTTTAAATAAATGTCCAACCTACTCCGAAAAAATATCTATCCGACGGATCAGATTTGGCCGGATTGAACTCGAAAATCGTTGCAGAACTCAATCGACTTTTAGTTCTAGTTGCTTTATACGCATTAAATAAGCATTATATACCAACGTAAAGTAAAACTATGAATTTGATTATCCCTTAAAAACATCAAGTAATTCTTGTTTGTATATAAATACACTTAATATTAATAACTTTTTTTAGTAACAGTGTCCTTATGGGTAATGATATATGACGTTAGTAACTTGCTAAGCAACACCAAAATGTATAAATAAAATAAGACCTGTATATTTTTTAATGTATATAAACGAAATCACGTGATAGGAAATTTATAACGAGGATAGGTTTATATTAAAGATTTAATTACTAAAAAAATTCAGTTTCGGACACTGGAAAAATTTAATGCAAAATAACCTCTTAATAACTAAAAGTGTGCTCGATTTTTTTGTTTAAAAATTTATTTTATTCCACACATTAAAATTGATATTGTGAACAACTTTGAACCTTTAGCAATTATAAAATAAAATTTCAAAGATTTTGAACAAAAATTTAATTGATACTGATCATATATGTAGATATTTCCAAGGATATGCAAACAAGGTAATTGCCGGACACTTTAAGTTTTCATCCATTTCTTTTTTTTTAAATATATCAAACGTCATTTCCTAAATCAACAATTTTGGATTATTTAACTAAAAGACATCTTTTTGACATTTCTAATAAGATACTAGTATCTGTATCTAAGATTCTTTATTCTAAAAAGAATCTTGTATCATTTTCATATTCTTGAAAGATACAGATACAGATTCTTTTTAATATTCATGATTAAAATTTTACATATCACAGAATATATTTAATTTTCTTCGGGAATCTTGAATTAATTTCATTATTTTTTTCCATCATATTTTAATATATTGACAGCCAAAATTATTTGGAAAATTTACAAATCATATTAAGGTAGAAAGATAAAAAATAACAACACCGAAATATGTAGATTATATTTTATATATAAATGTAACTCGATAGAATATCATTACCAATTTTATGTAATATTTTTAATTCTAGGATAATTAACACTCATGGTAGTGAAATAATTATAGAAATAAGTTCCTCTGAATCATATAATCTTAAAATTTTATATGGTTTTTAAATATAAGTTAAAAAAGACAATTTACAGGCTAAATGTAAAACCTGTATAATCAAAAAAATAATAAAGGGTTAAATACAAATTTTGTTAAACATATTATAGTATATTATTTATGTGTAGTTAAAAGGGGCATAGGTTATCTTAAAAATTCAAGTTTACAATATTGTCTCAAGATGGTATGGGTAAAAGATTTTAAGAAAATATTTTCCTATGATTTGAATATAATGTGGCTTTTTTGACATCAATATCACATCCATATTTTAAGAACTTATGGATTGAGTTGGATAATAAAAAAAAATTTCAAAATATATTAATAAAAGAAGTCCTAAATGTAGTACCAGAGTAAATAATAAAGTTCAAACTATAAAACCAATGAACATCTAATAAAGAAAATGATAATTATTTTTCTTTTGGTGAAACAAATGGTGCTGAGTTCAATAATACAAATAACAATGGCTGGAGATTTTAAATTATATTAAGTCGAATATAAATGATTAATTTTTATCCTTCTATTTAGGAAATTTTTTATACATAATTGAAAGGTTATTTAGTTTTGGTAAAAATGTTAAATACGCCGAAACGACAAAGGTCTAATGATAAATTATTTGAAAAATTTGATTATCTTATAATGAATGTATTTTAAATACTCTTTTACAAATTAATATTTCAACTCCCATTAAAAATACTAGTCTTCCTTCTCAATCTATGCTATGAATGGCTAATACTAATATTAAAATGTCTGATTATTATAATTAACTCATCATTAAATGTTTTATTAATTATTGTAAATATTCATTCTTATTATATGTGTATGTTATGTTCTTCACAAATAGATAGTAAAAACTGTATTTTATAAGCTATTCTGATTTAATTGGTAACGATAATTTAAAAGTATCTTGTATTAAGATACTCTAATTAAGTAAAAGATACAAGTATCTTTTATCTTGTATCTTTTTGATATTTCGAAAAAGATACTAGTATCTGTATCTAAGATTCATTTTTTCACAAAGAATCTGTTTTAGATTCTTTTTCAAGAGGACCTGCACAACTCTGACTGCCAGTGCCATCTAATAAATCACAATACTTTCAATTCTAATTTTAATCATAGATCTATTAAGTAAATTTGTCGTAATATTTAGAAAATCTTCTAAGGTTTTAAATTTAATCATATATTTTTCCATAAATCTAAATACCAATTTATTAAATAATTTTGTTATATTTGCTAATAAAGAAATTTAATATTAATTTATCATGATTTTTGTTTAGAAAATTTAGTAAAGCTTTAAATATGAAAGATTCATTTTATAATTTTTTATCCTGATTTTAATTAAAAACCTTTTAAGATTATTACAATTAAAGATATAATTTTAAACACTCTTTTTTAAACTCTTTCAGATATGTTACCTATGAACTCACTTCAACTTATTCAATAATCCCAGAGAATCATTTTCTATTAAAATAAAGACAATAAACATTTGCTTAAGTAGACCGGGTTGTGCTCGGGAGTTAAATCCGGCCAAAAGATGATTCTCGTTAAATTCGTTTAGAGGAAAAAAACTTAAGGCAAGAATTATTTAGCATAATTAAATTATAGATTAATGTTAGTGGTTCCTATACAGTTATTTTTGCGAATAGTCTTATTTTCACAATTTTATGATACTTTAAATCAGAAATCTCTGAGATGGCCCCAGCTTTAATTAGTAGATGAAGCTTAAAAAAAATTAAATGATTATTTTTTATTATAAAAACTCATGATTGTGTATAAAATAGAGGTCTGCATTGGAAGAGTTTTTAAAGCCCATTAGTCTAAAAATTTTTTAACCGCTCATCCATTATAAAAATTTTATTTAATTATGGCCATTCTTTCAATTTTTTAAGCATCTAATAAAAAAAAATTCAGCATTACACCTCTACAAAAAGTTTTTAGGAAATTACTAAATTAAGCTTAAAAAATATTCAATTTAAATTGTGGATAATTTATTTGATCAAATAAAATATTCATGAAAATAATATAAATAAAAAATTGATATTATATGTAATTAATGCATAAATAATAATGGATCGACATTTTCTGGATTCAAAAACGTTCTTCTTTATTCTAAAAACCTTCCAGCAATGCTAAATTCTCGTTCAAAAGAAGCACTTGCAGGAATTGCCAATATTTTCTTGCTAATCTTAGATTTGGCAAATCTCATTCTTGCCGTTTCCACGAAAGTAGTTTTAAATATACAAAAAAGTTTATTTATTTTAAGAAAAATGTTTTTATGATATCAAAAAAGGACATTTAAATTTTTAATATCAAAATTCATAGGAACAATATTTATTAATAATTATTTAAATTTTTTTAACCTGCCCGCCCATTGTTTAAATTTCTTAACTCGCCCATAGTTTAAAATTTTTTAACCTGTCCGCCTGCCTGTTCTTAAATTTTTTTTGCCCGTTCACTTAGATGGGCGGGTGGGCCGAAACCCCGCCCAATGCAGACCTTTCGTAAAAAATGAACACTATTTTAAAAGATGTAAGCTGTATGATTTTTCTTGTGTATTAGAAAAGTTTTCAGATTCGGCATTATTTAAGTTTTGATTTTCTATACTTCAATTATAATACCCTAAATTAATGAATGTATTTCAATAGAAACAAAGATATTGTTATCAGTTGCTAAACCTATATAATAAATGTAGATAAGC